TTTAAAAGGAGAAGTTCAGTCAGCAAAAACTTCATATACTAGTAGCAAATAAAACATGACTTTTGCGAGTTAATTATTTCGTTCATCTCTGCCCAATAATTGTCTATTAAAAGCACATTTACATGTGTAGCGACTGACTATTTTTCTCTCCTTGTAGTAAAGATGAAGGAACTTTGAGAAAAACTGAATCTGCTGCTTTTCATAGTTAATGTGCGTACTAACACGCGTAATTTTCTATTCAAAACCCTTCTAGTTTAGAAAACCACACGAGTTATGCACAAGAAGTGAAGTTATGGAGTAAAAGCTTACGTCATATTTTCTTTGAAGTAGTCCATACCAATCAAAAGGGTTAGTTTATCCACATCGTGAGTTGAAACAACGGCAAGATATCTGACATGATCAGAAACCTAAAGCTTCCAATAAAAGCGAAACTTCGCAAAAAGAATAGAGTAAGAAAAGGTTCCTAGAGAAAAAATGTATCGCAACATGATAAAACCTGAGTTTGTAGTCGAACGGCCATACTCATTTTATCTTGAGGTCGCAAAAGCCTTAGCATCAGTTGAAGGTGGCTCTCAATTTCAGCTCCATTTGCAGTCCCATGAGAACATGTCGGAGAATTGTCGCTAAAATATATACCTTGAAATATAGATCAAATAGCTAAATATAAATGCAGACCTGTGAGGCAAAATGACAGCGGCACCTCTAACCGCAAAATAACATTCTGACATACTACGATTTCTAGACGAACATCTTGAATCATCGAAGTCCTAGAAAACAAAGAATCACAATGTGATGATTCTTATAGCGGCACAATATCTTCTACATTTCCTCAAAACAGGGGTATAAGTTACCTCGATACTCTTCACTAACTTTCTCTTTGACTTACAGGTAATGATAAATTAAGAGTATCTTTGGCTTACATGTAGGACAAATCTAGAGTCATTACTACATGTAATTCAGAGACGAAGTTTATTATAATATTATTTAGAAAGCGTATAAACAACTTATGTGTAGTTCACTAAAGAAACTTTTTCAGGTAATTGCTCAATGAGAGCTTTATTCGCGATGTAAAATGCTTATCAAATATTTAGCTATCAGCCTACCAGTCAACAATCTGCTTCACTGCTGACAAACCACGCGCGGGTGTGGAGTCTGGAAACGATCGTGCTTTATTTTAAAAAGCTCAACTAATCATCTATATTTCAAATTGTTGGCATTACGTTCTAACAGTTTCAGTAAGTTGAGCAGCAGCTTGAGTGGATCTCACCATCTGAGTATTGATCTAGCACACATGCATGTAGGCCTAACTTCCACATTTCCGCAGACCTTTTTCATTTTTCGGAACAAGTCGTCGTCAAAATAGTGTAGCTATTAGCTATTTTTATATAGAAACACGATTAGTTTGTTAAAAGTACTTACGACATGTCACCCAAAAGAAAAAATTTTCAATCATCTAAAAATTAATCTTGGATTCGCATACAAGAAATCAGCGACAATTCCATGTGTTGATAACGCTAGCAGCCCAACATGTATATCATATACATATATATATTATATACACTATATATATATATAATATATTATATGAAGCAGAATATGAG